CCGGCAGGCGGCGGTGTCGGCAGACCTGGGCTTCGACCCGCCTTGCCGCCGTGCCTGGGTCGGTCGCTTGGGAGGTGCCTCAGGTTTCTCTTAGGGGCCTCTCAGCGGGCCTCCTCGTGGTCCCTTCGGGGCCTCTTGTGGGCCTCTCGGGGGCTTCTCGAGGGGCCGCAGGGGGCCTCTGGGGCGCCTCCCGGGGGCCTGCTGGCGGCCTCGGGGGTCATCATCCTGGAGCGGAGAGCTCCCAGTGTTAGTCCGAGCTCCCATTCCTGGTCCGCTCTTGGGGCCGTCTTGGGGGCCTTCTGGGCCCCGTTCGGGGCTCGGGGGCCATCTTCACGCGCTTCCTGAAGCCTTCTGGTCGGTCTCTGCAGCGATTCCAGCCTCCTGGGCCGACCCCCAGGGCCTCCCGAGCGGCCCAAGGGGGCCACAACGGCAGCCCTGGGGTCAGTGGGTGGAGCACGCCGGATGTCGAGCCCTCCAGCCGCCCTCCCAAGGGCACCGGAACCCCCTCTCAGGGCATACCTGCAGCACTCCATATGGAGGGAGCTCGGAGGGACCCGACGGCACTCCTCGCTGCATCTTGGCGGATGCAGGGATCGTCAGAGTCGGATTCGTGCCAGGTGCCAGGAGGCGCAGGGAGGCCCCGGGGGACCCACAAGTTGGGGGGGCGCATGCTCCCACGAAGGCGATGCACCAGTCTGGGCACGCGGCTCCTCGTGGGGATGGGGGGACGTCGTAGCACATTTCTTTTGTGACTTTCTTGCTCCCTGCCTCTCACCCTTCTCCCCTCTCTCGCGGTCCTGGTGCCCCTGAATGTGGCAGCGGGTGCCAGGTGAGCTCCCCGAAGGAACACGGTAGGTGCACCTCGGCCTTGCGAGCCACTTTCTTGCCTCGCAGGCCACGTCGATCCGCGAGAAGGAGCTGGCCGATCCAATAGGCTTACGCCACATCCGCCGACCCCTATTATGTAAACTACGGCGCGTCCGAAGTATGGGACGGTCATCGTCGTCGTCGTCGTCGTCGTCGTCGTCGTCGTCGTCGTCGTCGACGGGCCTTCTTCGCGTTGATTTTGTTCTCGTCGCTGGTCGCTGTTGTTGCGTATTCGTTTGTTGTAATCATCGCTGTCGTCATTGTCGTTGTCGTTGTCGCCGTCGGGTCGGTCGTCGTCGTTTTCCGTCGACGTTGTCGTCATCGATATTGTCGTAGTTGCTGATGCTGTCGTTGACTTCGTCGTTGTCGCCCAATGTGATCGCCCGCATTTCGAGCGTGCGCGCCATTGGGGCATCCTGGAGTGCAAATCATGCACGTGAGCCCCGCTGAAGCGCTTGTGGCAGCGCGCGAATGCTCGGGGCCGCAGGGTTGAACATGAGGAGGAGGAGGAGGAGGAGGAGGAGGAGGAGGAGGAGGGAGGAGGAAGAGGAAGGAAG